GTCACATGATTGTAAACATCACATAATCTAATATGTGGTGGTTATTTAGTTTGTTGACCGATATGATTCGTTTTATTTGAATCACGTCGAGGAAAAGCCATGGCCAAAGTCTAACGTCCATGATATAATTACTATTAGCTTTAGCCGTGTATTTTTCTTTTCTCGCTATTGCATCAATTGATGTTAAGACTATTACAGAAGTTTTATCGCCGCGAATACAAATATCAAAAAAACTTCTTATGAAAATCAATGAGATTTTTCATCACTGCCAAAGATACAACTACTAATAAAATAGTAGTTACTATATAGCTATCAACGAAGTTATATACGTTATTAAATCTCTTTGTCTTCTCTCTTATGCCTGCTTGCCATTATACATGTGTGTATATATATATATATATATGTGTGTCTATATATATATATATACACACACACAAACATATATATATATATGCAACGAGTTAGCCAAAATAATAATAAGTTAAAAGCTTTGATTTTTACAAATTTACAAATTTATTTTTAATAAGAGAATCAAGAATATTAATTTATTTACTTTATATTAGCTATACATTAGCATTAAATGTGTTCCAATCTTTTGGACTAAAAATTTGTAAACATATGTATACGTGAAATGTTAATTGTTCGTTATTTTGTTAACTTTGACTCGACGAAGTGATAAATTACGTCACTACATAGAGATTTACTTACACGTCTATCTTCCAGAGTTAGGTAGAATCTAGTTTTTTATAATGTCCTTTCTTGAATATTGTTGTAAATAATTGTCATCTTCTTCGGAATTATATTTATGTCATATTTATCCGAGTTCTATTAATACTCGATTTTTCATAATCAACGAATTCATATTTGCGATTGTATCATTCATACTAGAATGGAACTCATTCATTGCTAAAGACTCTATGCATTTGTAATTTAAATGATCTCGCCAAAGTAGTTATATTTATATAGCACACATACATATAAACAATCGCACAATTTAACGCATTCCGGCCTCGATAGCGTAATGAAGAATTCATCAGAGATGTATATTTTATTTATTCTAATTAGAAAATTCAAATTTTCATCTAAATGTATAACTTAAGCTAATTAAGTGGAGCGATTACACGAGTCGAATTCTTTTTCTAGTATGCGGTGTACGAATGGTATAAAAAAAAAAGAATAATAAAAAGAAAGAAAAAAATTTCAATTTTCTGTCTCGTGTAATCGCTGCTTGTTTTTATTAAAAAGAAGAACCTGTTGATATATTTCATGATTAATGTGCTATATCAGGAAGTTTCACTACTACGTTATTCAACTATATTATTATACGTATAGCTGAAACTAAAAATTCATAGTAGAACAAACTAAATGGTTTTTCAAGTTTGTACATATTTACTTGAACCAGTTTCAATAGATCTATGTGACGAATATTATTCTTAATACATTCTGAATTATTCTTCGTAAAATTTTTTCAAATAGTTGGATATACCGTATTTTTTTCCTATTTTTTTTTCCTTTTTTAATTTATAATTCATATAGATCACTTTTTTAATACGAAAAATTGTATATTTAAATATTCGAGAGATGAAAAGAATGAAAATCATGTCACATGTTGCGTATAACATTATTTTATAAAATATATCTGATCTACATCTAGATTAGATAACAGTATCTCAAAATTTCTTTAGATATAGAAATGTAACGAGAATTCCAAAAATATACAAAAAATAAATGTCCGGTATGATCTTTTTTTTTTTTAAGAAGAAAAAAAGAAAAAAGAAGACACGACTGTTGAGAAAATTATCTTCTTTTCTTCAAATGTGATTTGATATGAACAAATAAAATAATGGAAAGATTTAGCACAAAATTGTAGTTTCGAGTCTGATAGAGTACATTTATAGGATACGTTATATTAAACAATTTTATATATACGTAATTAAATCAAAAATAATAATCCATGACCTGTACAATTATTAATTTATGGCTAAAACGTACATACTGTAGAATTTTAGGATAGATCAAAGCGATTTTAATTGTTTTATTTTGGATAAACTTTATCAAATTTATATCTATGTAGATCCTATTATTTTTATTTACAATACGTATATATATATATATATATCGTATCATTGTTTTCTGAATGATAAATGATAAATAATAAAATACTTTTCTAGTGATTGTCTTCATACTTATCAGTGTTCGTTCGAAATATTTGTTTGATATTTGTAACAATTTTCATAACCCAAATATTTCAACGAACACATTACTCATGATAAAAAGTATGTGATAAAATAATAGCGTGTTATTTAATAATCATAATGTTCATATTAATTATATTTCACATTCTATGTTAGCTTAATAATAAAATTTCTAAATTTGCTAGAGTACTGCTTGTAAAATATCGTTCGATGAACGGTAAACTTCTTTAAACATTGAATATTCCTTTATGTAGAAAATTTTATTTGTTTAATCAGTATTGAATGAATATTCCATTGGATCTTTAATTAGCAGACATTAATATTTACAACCAACAATTTACGAGACAACAGTCCATATGTATTAGCCATATGTTATTTCCACATCCTTTGGTTTTAATTATTCCTTATAAAATCTTTAATATGTAAAGTATAAAAATAATAATCATGCGAGGTTGTACATTGAGATTATATAATAGCAATAGAAAAGTCCAGAGATGATAATGCGAGGGTGATAATATGGGAATAGCATTAAGTATGTTACAAAACACTATTTAAATACATAAATCATAAAAATAAACAATATAAATATATAGAAAATTACAAAAAAATATTATAATAAACATAAATCTTAATTCACCATTTTTGGATGTCCCGTTTATCTCGAAAAATTGGAATATTTCATAAGAGACTAAACCTACCCAAAAAAATTCTTTTACAGATTCGTTTGGTATGAAAGGATACAACATATCGTGCCAATTATTTTTAGCAAATCGAATGATAGGGACAAAGCCAAATTAATTTTTTTTAAATGAAACTACATTCTTTTCATAATTCGATGGCATTTGATGAGTGGAATTCAACGATATGCCATATGAGGTCATTTATTATTATAAAATGTTATAAATTATATTATAAATTTGTGATCAACTAAAAAGTATAATCTTATATTGTTGGTTGCCGGCTGTTAAGCTGCATGATGTAAAAAAAAGCCGAATTTTTTATCTCCCTTTATGCTTTTCGAATTATCGATCTAAGTAAAAAAGTTTATTTCGTAAGAAGTTTGGTTTTATGTCCATATAAACGGAATGTTCTTTATTGTATATGCGTGTGTCTTTCTGTCCGTCCGGATATAATATTTTTCTTATAAGCCTCTCCAAATCGGCTACTCTTTGTCCTTTCTATTATTGTACCTCCCCTATCACTCGCTCAACCGAGCATTTACTTCAAAGAAATCTATTTTGGAACATATGCACGCATTAGGACGTTCGTAGACAATAATATATCTTATTCTTCGAAAAAATTTAAACTATCTAGTAGTAAAGTTCAATCTATTATTATAACTTGAGACGAGCTCCAAAAGAAAATTGATGAAGCTTGATATTCAAGTTTTACAGTTTTACAATATGGGAATTTTATGACCAAAGAATTAAGGAAGGAGAGTAAGTCTGTAATTCTTATTTTTAAATGCAATTAAAATAAATTAAACAAATATGAAAAATAAAAATAATTTATTATTTTCTTTTTCACTTGTCCAGTATATTCAATGTAATCAAATAAATTGTACATGTTCATAAGATTTGGCAACTAGCGATGGCAATAAAAATACACAAAAGGACATAGAAACTATCTAAAAAGAAGAAAAGAGAGAGAAGCACGATAGAACTCTCAGAACAAACCTGTGTTATAAATGAAAACAAGGATATACATATAGAGGATTTGCAAATCGTCCAAACGGAAATTAATCCATATAAAGATGATTCGATATGAGTTATAAATAAAAATGTATGCAACACATTGTGAGTGCTGCAATCTCAACAATCAAAAAAAATTTGAAAATTTAAAAAAAAAGAACAATTTGTGAAACTTGATTTACGGAAAATTTTCTCGCTCTTCAGAAATTGGAATTTTGAACAGGAAAGAATAACTTACCAGGAGTTGGCACTATTCTATGAGCTATCTCTTTCAGCATCATGCGATCTTCGTGCAAACTTAATTTATGATAAAAATTTTTATTTTATCCGGTGTTTGAAATATAATAAAAAGAACAGATTTGCGGATGAAGAGAAGAATGGTAAGATTTAATGCAAAATACAACGGATATATTTTCAGGTCAAATATTTTTATTTTTATTAGTAATACGTAGTTATTACATTTTATTTGATAATTGTATAGATATTTTATCATATAAATGTTTATGATTATTTACAACATTATTATCGTTTATAATATTTTACAATAATAAATATTTTCATATGGTATGTCGTTGAATTTATTTCGATTAACGCTACGGTACTATCAAAAGAATGTAGTTCCATTTAAGAAGATGAATTTGACTTTTAAATTTCCTTCATTATTTAACTTATAAAAAAATTGGCACCATATGATTTATTTTTTCATACCAAACATATGGGTAAAAAACTTTTTTACTAGATTCAGTCTCTTACGAAATATTTCGAGATAAATGGGACATCCTGTATAATGTCTTCAATTACAAAATTTATGTCAATTGCGAAAAGAAATTATTATCTTTTAGCATCGCTATTGTTTACAAAATTGTATCACTGTTTTATCGGAAGATTAGAGTACACTGTTAGACGTAATGTGGTAAAGCTACCAGTGCCATACGTGGCACTAGTATATCAAATATTATAGTGATTTCGTTCGTTTCGAGACTGTTTGGCTGAACTCTACATTTTTTACTTTTTTTTTTTAGCGTAAGTTTATGAATATATGTAAAATAAAGGGATTTTTAGGAATAGATTGTAGCAATGAAATACATTTTATTTTTGTTTGAACAATTTATTCGCACAGAAAATATACTTTATACATACATATATATATATATTATTTTGTTATTTCTTTGTGTTCTACATTAACTGCACAAACGAGTATTTGCAGATATATTCTATTATATATAGATAACATATAAATAATATATAGATATATTACAGCAACGAGCAGGTTCATAGAAGTAGCATGTTAAAAGTAGCATAGTATCGACGTGGAATTATTCACCATAATGCAAATTTGGGAATACGCTGCATCAGATTACTGTAAAATAACGAAAAAACATTTAAATGTATATTAACACGATCAATAGCATTTATATACTTATAGTACTTATCTAATATAACTTACTCAGTAAAAAGTTTATTATTTTTGGACATCGATGATCCGTATAAGATACAAATGATGATTATAAAAGGTTGTCGTATAATTTCGAAAGACAAATCGTAGTTTAAAAGAACGTTCGTTTTTAGCAAGTTCGCTATCATTCCGGTTTGCTTTCCGTATTCGTCATTTCTAAATTCTAAGGAGATTTTCTGAGTTCGGTGATTTGTATCATGTAATCGTCTTGTCTTCTCTCCGTCTCTTATTAAATCAAATCGATCACGATCGATCATAGGAACGAAAAGTGTATTTCGATCCCGAGTAGACATTTCAGAGGTCCTGATTTTGTCACGAAGAGAATTAAATTGTCTGAGGTCGACTAATCTTCGATACGAAGATCTCCTATTAGCGTTGCTTCGAGATCGTTCAATCAATTTGAAACCTTTATCGAAATCATCATTTACTTCTCGGTAAAGTGAATCATTATGTCGCGTTACTATCAAATTCAATCGAACGTTTCTTTGATGATCATGAGATTGTAATTCCGTAGAACGTTCTACTTTACCGGCCAAGCTAGATTCAGTGGATTTACGCCTCTCACTAATCGTTCTTTGGATTTTTCTATTATATCGTTCTTGAACCATCATATTTAAACGTCTTCGTTCTTGAAGATTCGTACGAAGCAAAATGGAAGTCTGTGCAAGATTTTCTCGTTGTCGTTGAGTGTCTTTTCGATCGATCGATAAAACAGATGATCTGCGATTGTTATCTGTTCTAAAGCGCTTACTTTCAACGGATTCGCGTCTTTCGTTGGAATTCAATCGATTTATATTGTCGAACGAGCGACTTAGTGCCTGGAAACTCTCTCTTTGCCTGGAAATATGGTATTTTCGTGCAATAAATGATCTACGATTTGAAATTTCGGGTGTTAATGTTCTTGCAATGCGACGTTGTCCGTATTGCGTTTGTCTTCGTTCCGCAAATGAAATCTCAGCGACGATTTCTCCTCGCGTTGATCTACGTTCGGTCAATTTTTCGTTCGATCGTTCATTCGAAAAACGTTCGATTCTATTGGTATGATCTAAGAAGGATCGATCGGAAGAGTAACGTGCGATACGAGGAGAATTTCGAAGATATTCAATATTTGAAGATCGAACCGTACGCCTCAGAGTGTTAATTTCACGACGATTTGGTTTCTGTATTTCCATAATTCGGTGGTTCAATAAAATATTGCGTTGTTCGTAGTTATCTATAGATTCGGACGATCCGTTGGGTTTAGTTTGAACAATTTTTCCTCGAGAATTCCTAACAGAGAATGAAGATCGTGGAAAACGGTTAACAAGTTCGCGTCTATTATCACGGCGATCTATATATTCGGATGCACGATCAATTAAGATTCTACGTTCTAAACCGAGGTATCTGTTATTACGATCTAATGTGTTCGTATTTTGTCGATCGACTGAACGAGAGCGACGATCGAGGAGTTCCCGATTTTCGAGATCGATCATTCTTCGTTCAGATCGTTGATTCTCGAGTCTGTTACCAGATTGCTGCCGTTCCAACGAATTAAATCTTATGTTTCTAATTTCGGAGAGGGAATTTTTTCGTCTGATATCATGTCGATCGGCTGGTGTATTATCGTGAGAGGTAGATTTTCTTATTCTTAAAAAGTTCGAAATAATTGATTCACGATCGTATCGATTTCGAGTTCGTGTTAGGTCAGTCATACTTGACGATCGACGTTCACGATTAGAAGTATCACGTCGTTTATTTCTATATTTTACGCCTGCATTTGATTGACGTTCGCGGTTAAAAGTATCGTGTTGGGAATTTTTACGTTCTACATCTTCGCTCAATCGACGTTCACGATTAAAAGTATTAAATTGGGAATTTCTACGTTCTACGCTTAGATTTGATCCGCGTTGGTTATTATCAGTATCAAGTCGAGAATTTCTACGTTCTGCTCTTACATCCAATCGACGTTCGCGATTTAAAGTATCGGTTCGAGAATTTCTACGTTCTGCATCTATATTTGATTGACGTTCGCGATTAAAAGTATCAAGTCGAGAATTTCTACGTTCTACGCTTAAGCTTGATCCACGTTGGCTATTAACAGTATCAAGTCGAGAATTTCTACGTTCTGCGCTTAAGCTTGATCCGCGTTGGCTATTAACAGTATCAAGTCGAGAATTTCTACGTTCTGCCCTTACATCCAATTGACGTTCGCGATTTAAAGTATCAGCTCGAGAATTTCTACGTTCTGCATCTATATTTGATTGACGTTCGCGTTTAAAAGTATTAAGTCGAGAATTTCTACGTTCTACGCTTAGGCTTGATCCGCGTTGGCTATTAACAGTATCAAGTCGAGAATTTCTACGTTCTGCGCTTAAGCTTGATCCGCGTTGGCTATTAATAGTATTCAGTCGAGAATTTCTACGTTCTGCATCTATATTTGATTCACGTTCGCGAATAATAGTATTCAGTCGCGAATTTCTACGTTCTGCATCTATATTTGATTGACGTTCGCGATTAAAAGTATTAAGTCGAGAATTTCTACGTTCTACACTTAAGCTTGATCCACGTTGGTTATTAACAGTATCAAGGCGAGATTTTCTACGTTCTGCGCTTACATCCAATCGACGTTCGCGATTTAAAGTATCGGCTCGTGAATTTCTACCTTCTGCATCTATATTTGATTGACGTTCGCGATTAAAAGTATTAAGTCGAGAATTTCTACGTTCTACACTTAAGCTTGATCCACGTTGGTTATTAACAGTATCAAGGCGAGATTTTCTACGTTCTGCGCTTACATCCAATCGACGTTCGCGATTTAAAGTATCGGCTCGAGAATTTTTACGTTCTGCATCTATATTTGATTGACGTTCGCGTTTAAAAGTATTAAGTTGAGAATTTCTACGTTCTACACTTAGGTTTGATCCGCGTTGGCTATTAACAGTATCAAGTTGAGAATTTCTACGTTCTGCACTTACATCCAATCGACGTTCGCGATTTAAAGTATTGGCTCGAGAATTTCTACGTTCTGCATCTATATTTGATTGACGTTCGCGTTTAAAAGTATTAAGTCGAGAATTTCTACGTTCTACGCTTAGGTTTGATCCACGTTCTCTATTAATAGTATCAAGTCGAGAATTTCTACGTTCTGCGCTTACATCCAATCGACGTTCGCGATTTAAAGCATCGGCTCGAGAATTTCTACGTTCTGCATCTATATTTGATTGACGTTCACGTTTAAAAGTATTAAGTGGAGAATTTCTGCGTTCTACGCTTACATCCAATCGACGTTCGCGATTTAAAGTATCGGCTCGAGAATTTCTACGTTCTGCATCTATATTTGATTGACGTTCGCGTTTAAAAGTATTAAGTGGAGAATTTCTGCGTTCTACGCTTAGGCTTGATCCACGTTGTCTATTAATAGTATCAAGTTGAGAATTTCTACGTTCTGCGCTTACATCCAATCGACGTTCGCGATTTAAAGTATCGGCTCGAGAATTTCTACGTTCTGCATCTATATTTGATTGACGTTCGCGATTAAAAATATTAAGTCGAGAATTTCTACGTTCTGCATCTATATTTGATTGACGTTCGCGTTTAAAAGTATCAAGTCGAGAATTTCTACGTTCTGCGCTTAAGCTTGATCCGCGTTGGCTATTAATAGTATTAAGTCGAGAATTTCTACGTTCTGCCCTTACATCCAATCGACGTTCGCGATTTAAAGTATCGGCTCGAGAATTTCTACGTTCTGCCCTTACATCCAATCGACGTTCGCGATTTAAAGTATCGGCTCGAGAATTTCTACGTTCTGCATCTATATTTGATTGACGTTCGCGTTTAAAAGTATTAAGTCGAGAATTTCTACGTTCTACACTTAAGCTTGATCCGCGTTGGCTATTAACAGTATCAAGTCGAGAATTTCTACGTTCTGCGCTTAAGCTTGATCCACGTTGGCTATTAACAGTATCAAGTCGAGAATTTCTACGTTCTGCGCTTACATCCAATCGACGTTCGCGATTTAAAGTATCGACTCGAGAATTTCTACGTTTTGCATCTATATTCGATTGACGGTCCGAAGTGTCGATTCGAGAATTTCTACGATCGTTACTGCGTTGTTCTTTCATGAAACGCCTTTCCATATTTTCGCTTCTGAAAACTTGTCTTTCTACTGAATTCGATCTATTATCTTGAGTTTTTTCTCGAACATTTTTTCGATTATCTCCAATTGTTTTGTCAATGTTCCTAATTTCTCTTTTTTCTATACCTCGAGAATCGAACTTTCTACGTGTGTCTACTTCAAATCGTTCTCTTCGTTCTTTTAATTCATGATTATCAAGAGTTCTTTGCCCGTCTGTTCGTTTGATTCCATTTTGTTCGCGACGCTCCATGGATCTAAATTTATCATTAGAGAACTTTCTTGATAATTGTCTTATATGATCCGTTATATCTCGAGTCATTTCCAGATTTGGCGAATGGCGATAAGATAATCGAACGTTTTCGATCCTTGAATCGACTCGTTCCAAAGAACGTGACGGTCTGTTTGTTGGATAAGAAAAACGTTCTGAAACTCGTTGCTCGCTCAACGTTCTGTGTCTTCTTTCCAAAAGTGCATTTCTGTTAATACACGATTCGGTCGATTTTTTACGTTCAACTCGAATGATATCGGAACCGATTTCCTTTCCTTCATTATTTTTCAAGGTGAGATACTGTTTTTCCGGAAGACCAAGACAGATCGAAGATGTTGTCAAAGGATTCAAATTTGGGCAAACGTCCACACTGAAAAATCGATGATATTTTGAAATTAAATGTATAGAAAGATAAGAGAACTTCTTATTTGTGTTTTTTTTGTTTAGAACTTTTTCTTTATGAAAAATATTTTTATCATATAATACATATAAATTAAATGAAAATATGAAAGATGAATTATCGAACGATCTTAAATATAATATAGTAATGAAACAAAATTTACTTATGAGGGGCACGATGAAGGAGTTCAGGACCGGTCAGGCTTCCTGCTTGTCCTTCTCTGTCCCTAGCTATCAAACCGAAAGTTACGCATGCCAGTGATACTAGCAATAAACCGATGTATTGCCAGGACCGCACGGGTAAGACCACGTGCCTCGTACGCCTCATTCTACGATCAAAAAAATGTTATTTTCTTATAAATATTTGAATACTAGACTTATAGGTGAATATCATATTCATAACACTAATCATACAATATTTTAAAACAAAATATACGACAAATTTTACTTTATTTCTTTTTAAATAATTTTTTAATAAAATTTTATATCTATATGAAGACTATAAAATGAAATAGAATAAAATAAAAGATCGATATTAGAGAAAAGAAAAGAAGTTTTTATTTACCTGTACGATTAGAAATTTGATGATTTCTAAAGTTCTCGTTCTTCTTTCTTCGAAGCAAAAGATATTGAAACTCGGAAGATGTTCTTCCTCTGAGCTCTGGAGAGCTGCTGATGCTGGTAGTCCCCAGGGTGCTCCTTTTATACAGGCAGATACGCTCTGTAAATTCAATGAAAACACAATTTCGTGCTTATCAGCTCAGGCCACATGGGACCCCGTGCAACAGGGTGCGAATAGTTGCGAGGGTGGCTAATGTTACGAACGGAAAGATTGAGAAACTCGTACGGTATTGGTTAACCAGGTAGAAAATTACTAACCGTTATCTACTCTCTGACGATATTCCAAACTCGGTAAAATTTCTCTGTACGTGGGTGTCTTTACGTCAAACTATTCTTTCGATACCCTTTTTTTCTTTTTATTTTAACTTCTTTCTTTTCTTTTTATTTGAACATGAATTATTATTATTATTGTTACTTTTTTCTTTTCTTTACTTGCTTTTCAATGTTTTACATTAGGATTTTAATTACTATCAGCGGGAGATAGAAAGAAGGCAGCTTCTATTTTATTTTACGTTAAAAAACGTTGATTATTACACTATTTTGTAAAATTTTTTTTATATATTTAGATATATTTGTAATATCTTTAATATTATGTTACCACATCAATATCATATTACAATTTCTTTAATATTTTAATTTGTGATATTATAATATTTCATTTTATTTCTTTTGACATGTTGATTGTCTAGTACAATTTTAGTATGTTTTGTTAATTGCAAATGTTTCATTGAATTTACATATTGTTTAACAGTCAAATATTAATAAAAACAAATCCACAAGATTTAGGAAATTTTTAATTTATAGAATTGTTATATCTTTACATTAATCGATATAATTATATGTATTGAAATAAAACATATACAAGACGAATATATATTATTTGTTACGAGAAAAGTAAACAAACTCTAGAAAGATTGATGTAAAACTAAAAAAAATTTTAATAATACTGTAACTTTTTATGCCACCTGTTCTAAAATGCCAAGACTTTGTTTAAATTATTTCGAAGAATAATATAAAAGGTAATTGTAATATTATTATATAATTTTGTTTTTTACAGATAAATTATATATAAACACTTGTACGTACATATTTTTATGTTACGCAAATATGGCGAAACTGCGTTAAAAGTGTTAATTATTCTTATACGCGAAATAGTAAATGAATGACGATTTTTATATCTATGCCATTGTTATAATGACAAATTATTAATTGCACAATTGTACGGAGTACGGATGGATAAATAAAGTAGATTCAAATTGTCTGTTTCTTTTTTTTATTCGTATTTATTATCTTTTTATATAAAACACGCATTAAAATATAAAATAGGAGTGTACTGCGTACGAATTATTATAAATACATTAAATCGTGTATTTACATTGTTTTATATTATATTATATCTTATATTTCCATACATACTTGCACGCTAGTCGACTAAAAATTTTTAGAAAATTTTGATGTTTTTCTCTTTCTCTTTCTCTTTTTATTTCTCTCTCTTTTTATTTCTCTCTTTTTTTATTTTTCTCTCTCTACTCTCTCTTTTTATTTTTCTCTCTCTACTCTCTCTTTTTATTTTTCTCTCTTTATCTCTCTCTTTCTCTTTTTATTTCTCTCTCTCTCTCTCTCTCTCTCTCTCTCTTTCTCTTTTTCTCTTTCTCTCGGAGGAGGAGGAGGAAAAGGGAAGATTCATAATCGTGGCCAGCGTAATATCCGAAAATTTTCGACTTGTTTCGAACAGTCGAGAATAACGAGAGATCGGTTATCACGTAGATTAATTCAATAAATAATAAATCTTTGCCGATATACAAATTCGTACGATAATAAATTTCTTTCAATGTTCTTAGAAAACAAATGTTCTAATACTTATAACCGTAATTAACGTGATGAAGACATTTGAACTGATATTGGATGAATCGGATGAAGCAATTCTGAGCTCGCTACAGACAGTTTCGTTTTGTTCCGGTAATGCCGTAAAATTCGGGAATGTTTGAATATTTGCCGGCTGAAAGAAAGTTAAGTTAAGTTAAGAAAAAAATAAAACAAGAAAAGAAAAGTAAGAAATCAAGAACGTACGATTTTTTATTAAAAATATAAATATTCTTCAAATGCCCTTACCAGTGCCAATTTGTCGTCCCTTTTTCTACAAAATGTCATGTGTCTACCATGATAAAGACTTTTTTCAATCGATCTGGCAAGAAGTTCTTCTGTCCAAGGTAAAGCGAGTATATGTTCTGCTAAAGTTCGACCTAACAAATAAAAATACAAACAATACTAACAATACTACTGCATGAAATTGTTACTATTAATATATTACGTATTTAATGTATAAGACGTAGTAATAAAAATATTAATTTACCTCGAAATTCTTCTGGTTCTTCGATAATAAGTCGGGCAAAGACGTTATCACTTTCACGTTCCTCCGAATAATCTCTCATTGCTTTCAATGCCGACTCTGCTTCTCTGATAATATCCTCGTCGATTTGTTCGCTAGGTCTCGTCGCAGGATAAACCGGAAGCTGTTGTCTGGCCGTAAAAGGTAAACTCACTGGATCAGCTCTATAAATAAAATGTAATAAAGTTATATTATAATTAAAGAAATGGAATATGATGAAATAACATTTAATTCAATTAAAAATATTATTTTACCCGGTTGTTAGGAAAAGTTTTTCCAAATGATCCATAGTGACACCTTTGAAGCTATATACGGCAAGGGTTTTGAAAAGATCTTTCACAGGTGTCATACTATAGCAAGCTGCTAACGGTGTTCTCGGATAATGTACAACGAATGCTAAACACATTTCTTGCGACGCTGCATATCCTCCTAGCGTAGGTCTTGTCCTGTCCAACGTTCTGTAAACGCATTCAGCAACCAATTCATCACCTGGTAAAATTTTCACTTCCTTCTCCAAGGTATGCGATTGTTGGTAGTCGAAATCAAAATGATTGTCCTGTACTATTCGAGGAAGTTCTTTTCCTTTACGAATATGCTTCAAACTCAAACGACGTCCAGCCAAATGAGAATGCAGTACTACTGATACAACGTTTACACCGTCTTCGGGAAACATCTGTGTAAAAAAAAAAAATGTTTAATGAAATTCGTACATATAGAAGAATCTCAAAAATTATTATATTATATTACTTTCGTAATATTATTGATATTTACCGTGTTCGTGCAATGTGGCGTACAATATCCAGCCGTAGCATATTCCTTCTGTCTCGGAGGTACCAAATGAAGTGGACTGACTGCTACACCAGCAACAAGAATTCCTGCTTCTTGAGCGCGGAGTTTTGGTGTTAAGTGAATTCTAACTCCACTACTATCTATTACTTTCTTTAACCCAGGATTATTATAATGTACTTCCAACATATAATAAGAACCTTCTTGGTGTTCGGCTATAGGAATTCCCACGTGATCTGGAAGCCATTCTCCTAAAATAAAAATAATCTTAATTAAATTAATCTATTTTATCATTTCATATTTTTTATTAAAATTAATCTATTTTATTATTTCATATTTTTTATTACAATTAATCTATTTTATCATTTCATATTTTTTATTATATTTAAATGATATTTTGAAAATTAATTTCTACCTCTGCTACCACGGGCCCAGGCCAAGACAGGCTGCAAACAGGATTCCCATTCACGTGGCATCGTGGGACTGTAACAAGGTGCACCAGCGATTCTAGCATGCTGACCGAGAATCGGTGAAGTTGAAGCACACTCATACACTATCACGTGATGTACCAAGTCTTCGTTTGCTTTCTCCACCAGAGGCGTATACTAAAAACGGTATAGATGTAATATAAATTAATTCCCTATATGTATATATGTTTTTTTTTATAGATAAGATACAAATATATGTATATATATAAATGATAATATAAAATATATATATAGAAATGATAATATAAAAGAATAAAAAAACGAAAATATCAGAAAAATATGGAAAAGCTAGAAAATTATTCCAATTTCTATGTTAGAAATCATGGCACGTTTTATAAAAAAGAATGAATTGGATTCTTCTCTTTTCGAAAAGATATCGATGCAAGTCAATGAGCATTTCGGACAACGCAATGACATCATCGAATCTTTTTTTATTCTAGGCGACGTCTATAGCGTTCATGCGACGTTCGACACGAATGACCGTGATTCGTGAAAGACATACATAATGAAGCCCAACCTTTGCATTCTTTTGTAGGTTTGATCGTTGACACGTTAGTTTACTTACAATCAGCAAAAAATACGGTACTCGTTTCTTCGGATAAGAATTTCGATGGCAGTCAATGGCGTTATCGTAGAAACTCTCGTGAGTATAAAATCTCGCGAAATATACTTACATATATGTATGTATGTATTATACTTGGAACGTAATGAAAATAAATATTTTTATTTATTAAAAGGAATTTTAATATTTATTATGTACTTACTCCGATCATATGATGCTTTTTGGTTAAAGATGGTGCCTTAAAGATTTTGCACCAATAAACGGTATCCATCGTGTCGGATACCGTAAACTGTAATATCGAAAAACGTAGGTAAACATATCAATTTGTAAATTTAACGAATATCGATCGATAAATAATATTGTTATATTCCAACCTGATTTAATTTCACATCCCAATGCCTTATATCTTGCATTTCCTGAGGTGGAGCATGAGGCGATGGAGTCCTGAGTCGTAATGCTCTTCCACCACGTTTGTCACCATGCCAAATCGCCGTATTCAATTCGGGATCGCTTTGGTGTAATGCCCATAAAACTCTTACGGTATCGCCCTAAAATATTTTATTTGTTGATACTGAGTCATTTCGTTTGTTATATTATAGATAAAATTAATAATTATATTATTAAATATATTTAACGGATATTGATAAGTATTTATTATTGATATGTATTTACATACAAATGTGATAAATTTTCTTTTAATTTTCTTATGTATTAATATTTACCGTAAGCCGATGATCCTGCGGATCGCAAGTTTGCCAATTTCTAATAAAAGTTACGCTTGTATGAGTCTCATTTTGAAAACCCTCGAGAACATGGACATCTTGAGAAGTGTCCGTAACCGGTGCTGCATTCGACTCCTCGATACCGTGCGAATCCTTAAAGATAACGTATAAAAATCGATTTATTTTCAAATATCATTGTTCACGATAAAACATGTTAAATTAGATCAAAAACTTCGAAATCATGTCGATCGAGTGCCAGGTGTTTTCGTGCTTCTGTAGCACATCATTCTTTTTTTTTTCTCTTTGCACTCAGCGTGCACTTTCTCTTTTGATCGTATCAGAAACAGATTGCAATGTACATTTTAATAACAATTTTTACGTTCGAGCAAATAATCGATAATTCAAAATGATTTGTATCTTTATTTTTTTGCGATTTAATATTGGTATTATCATGATAAGTGAACATACATAGAAGATAAAAATACAGGCAATGAATTTGTATATAATCACCTATTATTTTACTCAGTATCATTAGAAGTTATAATAACAGTCACAGAAAGAGAGGCCCAAGGCGTTTGGGTCCGTTGGATTCGTAAATAGCGAGTTAGAATAGGAGAAGGGAGGATGCCATAGTAAGCAGAGCCGTAGCGAAGGGTTCGAAGGGAAATCCTCTTCCTGTTCATAATGAATCCAAATAATTGCTTTACCGTCGTCATGCCCAACGAGTACTGCAGTAGTTTTTAACGAGCACGTGCAAGAAGGAAACGGTCTCTGGAGTCATCGGAGGAAGACGATGGAATATGCGAACGTTCGTCGATTTGCATACGACAACGCATTCGAAATTACCGACGCTGAAAAATATCCTTCTGATCCGTGTCCCAAAAGCGTAACATCTTTTAACGCTTCGTGAGTTCTTTTTTGTTTTCTCTTTCTCTTTTTTTTTCTTTTAAGGATGAAAGAAACGATCGATTTTTAAGCATAAAAAGACAAGAAAAAGAGAAAGTGTGAATCAATATTTAATTAATTAATTATATTGGAATAATATCTATTAATTCATTATTTAACAGGCTATAACGTGAGTAATCAAAAGAATATAAATAAAAACGTAAAACTCTCACGATAAATTAAAAAGAATCTTTCATTGCGATCGATCTCATTACTTCGTGTAGTTCAAGTTCGTTCTCACGCGTTACGCAAGGATATTCTCATAGTATGCGGATATTCTCATCGTCTTTCGAGGGTAATTAATAAAATGCGGAGAATAAGAAAAAGAAAGAAAATAAAAAAAAAGAGTTTGATGATTAAGTCTGGAATACTTCCGGCGATAAGATCATACACATAAATCGGTATCTCTGTATCGAACTAATTCCTTAATTTCTACGAATCATTCATTTCACTTATGAAAAATTTTAATGCCCATCACGTTTTCACATTCTTAACGATAGATTATTATCTTTAAACTTTACATAATTCTGACAGCCTTTACTTTAACGCACGCAGTAGTTACGCTTTGTAATACGAACAGATGAAAGAGAATTTCTTTTTTGCTCGTTAAAGCGTGACGTGTTTTTAACGATAATAATCGCGAAGTTGCCGAGAAAATGAAACGTGACATAATCGTTTCTATAAAATTATTATTATTAGTTTAATACGTATGTAGATGTTATATTCGTAAAACATGTCCAGAAGAGATTTTAAAGTTTTATAATCGAGCAATTAGGTTAAAAGCGTGTAACTGCGAGGTCTACAACGGCACGTGAGAAAATTTCTTTAGTTGATCGCGTCGATAGAATTTTATATTCTTCGCTCATATAATCGCGATATTTATAATTATTAATACCGATTAAAAAATATGTTAAAACAAAAAAAAATGAAAATCAAAGAATCACAATATGATTATATTTTCAATAGATATTTTTTTGACAAATCGTTTACATTAACGTTTATAATTATTTCTTTGCTATCACTAGCTTTTTCACTAATTTCTTATCGATCGATAAATATATAACGGTATGTATGTACAATATTAACTATTGAGATTATTAAATCGGTATCGAAATAAATCATATTCGGATTATAGTTTGTCAACGTTCACCGAGCAAGCCCCTGGAGTTCCCGCAGGACAACGGGGAGGCTTTTTATTCCTTTCTCTAAGGACCTCCCTCTGTTACCAGCTGCTGTTCTGCCAGGTGGTAAAAAGAAGCGGCACTGCCGGGGAAAAAGAGATTCCGAGATAGAGGGAGATAAACGACGACGACGAGAGTAGAGAAAAAGAGAGAGAAAAAGAGAAAGAGAGAGGAGAGAGAGAGAGACGGAGAAAGGAGATCGGTACCTTCGTTGTGTAGTCGGCGATAGAAGGAGAGAGGTATAGAGGAGCAAGAAAAAGTAAGCCGAAGAAAGAGGACGAAAGGACGAGAAGGAGGATGAGGAGGTGGTGGAGGAGGAGGAAGAGAAGAAGAAGAAGAAGAAGAAGAAGAAGAAGGTGCTTCGACGTGAGAGAAAGAGCGAGAAAGAGAGAAAGAAAGAGAAAGAGAAAGAGAGAGAGAAAGAGAAAAAAAGAGAGAAGGAGAGTGAGAGAGAAAGAGAGAAAGAACTACGTTCAAAACACCTGGCAAGCATCGTCCTCTCAGTGGCGCCTCATGAGAGGAATTTCTTCTTTTTCTTCGGGATCTGGACCCATGGGAACCGCCTTGAATCTCACTGAACAAGGGCCAGTGTTCTCTTTTTTGCACGACTTATACCTATCGATCGAAAAGCTTACCACGAGGTAGTATATCTATACATAAAGTATCCTATGTATTTACAGGTATGAAGAATGTATAATTTTTATCGTACAATGTACCTACATATACGTGAAACATTAGGTATTTGATTTAATAAGACCGTGTGAATCATGGAAACACGTATTTGATGTAACATTCTGAAAGCAGGATAGATAAAAATAAATAAGAGTAAGTGGAAAGAAAAAGAAGTGGAGAGGAGAAAAAGATCAGATCCGGTAGCTTAAGGACCAATCCAGTTTGAACACAGCAATAAGACGATTGTCGGCATTTAGGCGTTAATTCACTTAAGTTTTTTACCTTTAAGTTAGGACAACGTCATGGATTATGAGGCTAATACGGTATTTTTGGCTTACGCGTTATCGGTCTTAACTTGTTATAATGTCAAAAAGAAAATACAAAGAAAAAGAAAAGAAAAGAAAAAATATAGAAAATAAATAGCCCTAGATAAAACTAGATTTCACGAATTAGCGACGGATAAACTTTCAATCTCATACATTAGATCAGACAATTACAAATCTTTCTTCGACTACAAGTCTCTTCATGCCTTTTTGCCAGATCAATAAATCCCTAAAATGGGATACAATAGCTCGAGTTCGTGCGAACCACGAATGGTTTATACCCTTCTTTTTTTCTTATATAGTCCCTTTTTTCTTTTTCTTACCCTTCATTTTTATTTTCTTATTAAGACGACCCTGAATTCTCTGATTCCCAGAAGGCTACTGACGTTTTCATTTTCTTTCCAAGCGTTAATAACGATTACAACCGACGATCTTACGATCTATAATTACTTTAATAATCTATCCGTCCTGTTTATTGTGAAATCAAATATGAAATATTATATTTACGTAAAAGTAAATACTCTATGAAATACATTTATACTTTTTTTTTTACGGGATGAGATCGAATTCAATAATGTATTATCATGTAAGATGTGTATCAATAACATATCTACAAAATCGTATTTAATAAGAGTACGAAGAAATTCTTGTAAAATTATCGATAATGTTTCGATAAGAAACATTTTGAATTTTCGATTTGATTTCGATAAGAACATTTGAGAAGAATTGAGATTATCGGTAAAAGAAAAGACAAAATTCGAGAAAGAGATAGAAAGAGATAGATAGAGAGAGAGAGAGAGAGAGAGAGAGAGAGAGAGAGAGAGAGAGAGAGAGAAAGAGAGAGAGACAGACAGACAGACAAACAGACAGACAGACAGACAGACAGACAGACAGACAGACAGAGAAGATTCAAAGAATGGGAATTTGTTGGTAAGAAACGATCTTGTGAATACGATCCTCGTAAATGTGCAAGGTTCTTCCGGACAAATGGCGCGTACCGATGAGGATATTTTATTTGGCCCGGGCGGACCGGTTTCTTCGTGTGGAAATCGTAAATCATATAACCTGGATTATAGCAGTCTCGATGTGTCTTCCCTCGAGCTATAAACTTATAAAAGCGCATTTAATTTCTCAAGCTTTATACATTGATAATATGGAGAACTCGTATCGATCGATTATGTAGAGTAATCCTAGTTAGTGTTATCTTCATCCTTCGTTAATAAGATCGCGAAGAGACCGATCAAAGTTAAAGAAAGCAAATGTACATCCGGGAAATATCATCCGATTATTTTCCGTAGGAACATTGAACTATTGCATATAATAATAATTTTTCTATCGCAATTATCATGAAAATTATTCTAACGGACAGAGATCGTTTATCTTGATATTATTCATGATATTATTTTTTAAAAGGAAGATATATTAAAAATTTTATTGTTATGTCGTTTATATAAAAAATATTACTCTGGTTATCATCGATAAAAATTGTTATCTAATTAATATCATTAAAAAAAAAAATTCTCTTATATATTGTAAATATATAAATATATATATATATATATGTATATATAAATATATATATATATATGTATATATAAATATATATAAAATAAAATAAACATCCCCTCAACCACTTTCTCGCCACCAATTGCAAGTAATTTTCATATCAAGTAGATCTTGCAGAGAATAATTGCGTTTAAATTCTCATTAATTCACGTAATTATTTTCAAATCAGAATTCAACAGAAATGAGAATTTTTTTGAATGAGATTGAAACGTTAGAAAGGTAATGAGAGAACGTAATAAAATAAACGTAGAGAAAAAGATAAAAAGAAAATAAAAGAAAAAGAAAGGAATCAACGATGGAGAAGAGTAAATGAGAGTTTCTGTGAAACTCTGGGTATCCAACGATGCGTTCGTCCGTCCGGCTGCCCAGTTGTTCGTTCGTCCCTTTGGATTAGTCGTATTTCAAATTCACTTTGCGGAACGTCCTTTCCCCGCTTGCAATAAATTACGATCGTAATCGTCTCTAA